AGAGAGAGAGAGAGAAGAGAGAGAGAGAGAAGAGAGAGAGAGAGAAGAGAGAGAGAGAGAAAGCTAGTTGTTGGGGGGCTAAGCATATTGGGCATATGCATGCCTTGGAGTGCTTGGGGAGGTCAGAGGACAACCTCACGTGTGGGTCCTTGTCCTCCACCTTGCTTGAGGCCTGTATCTTGATAGTAGATGTTTCTACCAGGCTAAAGGGTCTGTGAGTTTTTGAAGGCTCTCCTGTCTCTGCCTTCCATCTCACCCTGGGAATACTGGAACTACAGCCATGGTGTTTGGGTTCTGAACTCAGGTCCTCATGCTTATGTGGTGAATCCTTCACCACTGAGCCTTCTCCCTGGCCTGGGTTGCCTTTTATTTTATGTTTTCTCCTCTTTCTATAACTCAAGTTTTAGGGGAATTCTTTTTACCAATATTGAGTGCGGATGGAACCATAACATTTTATAGTAAAATAAAAAAAGATAAAAACCACTGAAGAGAAAACTAATCTCCACAATTTTGATGAACATGCTAACACAAAAAAGGTGAGATGATGTTACTGAAGTTTCCCTTGGGAATTCATATCTTCATGTGACCATCATATTCCGTGTCCTAACTTCTGTGACTTCTCTGATCATATATCATGGTGACAAGTGTCTTAATTACCTACCTCTAGTATGTCAGGTGCTCTGAAATTAATGGGATTGTGTTTTGAACAGTGCCGATCTTGTGTGGGCTGGCCTGTTAGGAAAGGTAGCTTTAACCTGGGTGAGTGGGTATCATTGTCTTTCTCACACAATGCTAGAAGATACTCTTGCATAGCCTTCTGTAGGATGAAGAGGGGATTTTTTTTCTCGTTCTGACTCATGTTCCATTGATCCTATTGGGATGGCTGATTTCCTATGGACTTGGTACTAGACAGGACTCTGTGCTGCTAGTGATTAAACCGACTTCTCGTGGTGCCTGCTGACTTACATAAGTATACAGCAGGGAAGGAGAGTGGAGGTGGACTCAGCCGAGACTGGAGACATGGGCTTCTTCTCCCCCGATTCCTGTGCCTGTCTGTTCTAGCAAAGAACCTCAACACATGAGATGGGAAAATGACTTTCATGTCTCAATACTGCACAGGGAGACAGGAAAGCAGGCCTTCACTGTGCTCCCATTTGTAATCTTAGAGAGATTAACTCAGGTGAATTTCAGTTTGATGCTTGTGACATTTTTTAGGCACTGTGGTCAGTATGATGAGGTTCTTTGACTCACTTTGTAGTGTGTGTGTGTGTGTGTGTGTGTGTGTGTGAGAGAGAGAGAGAGAGAGAGAGAGAGAGAGAGAGACAGAGAGAGAGACAGAGAGAGAGAGAGATGCTAGTATAGATGTAGTTTCCCGGGTGGACCCCAGGACCTTCAATGGTGTCAAGTACAGTTGCTAATAAATGGGAGAGAAATGAGCCTCCAGCCATCTTTGCATGCTGCTAAAGGAATGCTTTTAAGTAAATGATAATTTGTCTTGATTGATATCTGATTGATATACCTTCATTGATAACTGAAAGCTATATTTACAGTAACTGAAGGCATTGGTAATTACTTCACAGTAAAAACATAAGGAGAATGATCAAAGTTGCCTTCAGTATTCAAAAGAAGATGTGGAAGGTGAAGGGGCCTGGTATCAACCCTGAACGTAGAACCAGGTTGAGACTTGGTGGGGTTTCAGCTGGAGAATGAGCCTCACAAAATGTGTAGCTGTCTCCAGTCAGTATGAACTCTTCTGTGAGGTGAAGTGGCTCTCAGCAGCAGGGACTTTAGTGGTGCCTGACTCACCACTGACGAAGATGACACTCACTCCTTCCTGGGCAAAGACAGCCTGGATGGCCTTTTACTGGAAGAATCCTGAGTCCATCTGAAGCTGAATTTAGGGTGTCTTCTCCCAACCCTAGCATGTGAA